TGATCTCGGCTCACTGCAACCTCTGCCTTCTGGGTTCAAGCAATTGTCCTTCCTCAGTCTCCTGAGTAGCTGGGATTACAGGCATGCACCAAGACTCCCAGCTAATTGTGTATTTTTAGTAAAGATGGGGTTTCTCCATGTCGGTCAGGCTGTCTTGAACTCCTGACCTCAGGCAATCTGTACACCTCAGCTTCCCAAAGTGCTGGGATTACAGGTGTGAGCCACTGCGCCAGGCCAAAAGAAAGCAATAATTTCTTAATATCATTATATGTTCGAATAGCACTTAAGCAGTTACGCAGGCTGTTCAGAAAGCATGGCACTGGCATCTGCTTAGCTTCTGGTGAAGCCTCAGGGAGCTTTTTAGTCTTGTTGGAAGGAGAGAAGGGGACACAGGCGAGTCATGTGGTGAAAGCTAGAAGAAGTTCCAGAGAGTAGGGGGAGGTGTCACCTATTTTTAAGTGACCAGATCTTGTGTGAACTTACAGCTCACTTATGACCAAGGAGGTGGCCCAAGCCATTCATGAGGGATCTGCCCTGATGATCCAAACACCTCCCACCAGGTGGGACCTCCAACCCCGCAGATTACAATTCAACATGAGATCTGAGTTCAGACTATCTCAGGGCTTACCTACATTTCTGATCATGAGGAATAAGACCACCTGCATCCACACAGCTTAGGCATCAGGACAGAGACCTAAGACCTTCTAGATCAACATGACTATTTGATTCAGGAGATTCTCACTCAGGAGTATTAGACTGTCAACCAATACATGGCTTCACTGTTTGCCTCAATAAATCCATGAAAAAGCATTTATTGTAACAAAAGATTGCTCATCTTGACAAATAACTCCTTCTCAGGATGACAGTATAACCACCCAAAGGGCTCACCTTATCCGCTTCCTAGACCAGAGCTAATTCATCAGGACAGGAGAATTGCAATAGGGAAGGAGTAATTCACACAGAGCCGGCTGTGCAGGAGACTGGAGTTTTATTATTACTCAAATCAGTCTTCCTGAGCATTCAGGGAGCAGAGTGTTTAAGGGCAACTTGGTGGGTGGGGGGAAGCCATTGAGCCGGGAGTGCTGATTGATCAGGAATGAAATCACAGGGAGTTGAAGCTGTCTTCTTGTGTGAGTCAGTTCCTGGGTAGGGGCCACAAGATCAGATGGGCCAGTTGATCGATCTGGGTGGTGCCAGCAGCTCCACCAAGTGCAGGGTCTGAAGCACTGATCTTAGGAGCAGTTGAGGGAGGGTCAGAATCTTGTTGCCTCCAGCTACATGACTCCTAACCCATAATTTCTAATTTTGAGGCTAATGTTAGTCCTACCAAGGCAATCTAGTCCCCAGGCAAGAAGGAGGTCTGTGGGCCAGGCACCGTGGCTCATGCCTATAATCCCAGCACTTTGGGAGGCTGAGTTAGGCAGATCACAAGGTCAGGAGTTCGAGACCAGCCTGATCAACACGGGGAAATCCCGTCTCTACTGAAAACACAAATTAGCCTGGTGTGGTGGCATACTCCTGTAACGGTAGCTACTCAGGAGGCTGAGGCAGGAGAATCACTTGAACCCAGGAGGCAGAGCTTGCAGTGAGCCGAGATCACGCCGTTGCACTCCAGCCTGGGTGACACAGTGAGACAGCAAGACATCATCTTAAAAAAAAAAAAAAGAACATAATTGTCTTGTAGTGTTTCCCATGGTCTGTACTTTGCCAACTGTTTTTCATGGTCGCATTTAGCATGTTCCCTTATTCTGTATTTCCTGTAAATACAGATCAGGTCAATTTTTATTTATTTTTATTTATTTATTTATTTATTTTGAGATGGAGTCTTGCTCTGTCACCCAGGCTGGAGTGCAGTGGCCCCATCTCGGCTCACTGCAAACTCGGCCTCCCATATTCAAGTGATTCTCCTGCCTCAGCCGCTTGAGTAGCTGGGATTATAGGCATCTGCCACCACACCCAGCTAATTTTTGTATTTTTAGGTTTCTCCATGTTGGCCAGGCTGGTCTCAAACTCCTGACCTCAGGTGATCTGCCCGCCTCAGCCTCCCAAAGTGCTGGAATTACAGGCATGAGCCACTGTGCCAGGCCTTAAAGCATCTTTTGAAGGTGGATGGGATTTCTACAAACAGGCAAAAAGCCAGTCAGACTGAGTATAGTGAATAATATGGGTGACCAAGCTGGAAAATGATGGTTTGAGGTGGAACACAGGGGTGATGAGGCCATGAATGATTTGCTTGTGTGTCTGGTAAAGGCTCTGATGGAAATTCCTCAACAGGTCTAAAAACGTTCCATCCAAGGTCAGCATGAAATGTCCAGCCACCCACGGTGACTAATGTCAATGGAACAGTGACATTGACGGTGCAAGTGCATGTTGGTTATAAAACCAGCTTTGCTGTGTGGGTGGACACCCAAAGTGCCCCTTTCTAGTCATGAGCTCCGCTTAAGTGGTGCCCACTTAGGATTGAAACTTGGAGCTGGACTGCCCTTTCCTGCTGAAATTCGGGAACTAGTTAGCAGCCCCGCCGAGGCCCCCTCATTTCTGTACACCAGACCCCAGGCTCGTGTCTCAGTTCGAGCCCGCGGCCCGAAACTGGAGCCGTCTGGATGTGTTGACAAGGATGCCGCTGGGCTCCACCCGGGGTCCGCCTCTTCCCCATTACCAGGCGACAATGCGGTCGGAACACTGCGCTCGAAGAGGCTGCCGCTCCTGAAGCGTCAACCAGAAATAAGGAAGAACGGGGGCAGCTGCCAGGGCGAGCAGAGGCGGGCCTCAGAGCAGCAGACGGGCCGGACGGCTGGGGTGGTTTTGACCTCCCGCAGACTTCCTTTTTCCCGCTCAGCGGAACCCCTCCCCGGCATGGTCGCAGCACCCCCGGTCTCACGCCGCCTCCACCCGCTACTCGTGAAGCCCCGCCCCGTTCCCGCCCCCAACCATTGACGCAAAACTGGGAGGGGCCACGAGGGCCTTGGGCGCAACCAATGGAGCTTCCGGGCCGGCGCCTTCTCCAAGCACGCCCGCGGATCTGGAGCTCGCGCCTGCGCAGTTTGGGCCCAGGTTGTCCTCCCCCTCCCCTTCCTTAGCAACCATCGCCCGCTCCCTCGGCCGCGGCTGCGCACGCGCGCCCCTCCCGGCGCCCGGCCCCGCCCACCCCGTCACCCGTAACAACCACTCGAGCCCTCGCCGCGCCCCTCCTCCCTCCCGCCCCCCTCCCCGGAACCGGCGGTGGAGCTGCGGCCGCCGAGCAGTCGAACCGCGACCGCTCCCCGGAGCCGCCGGTATGAACGCCCCTCGCCACCCTGCGTGCCAGGCCCGGCCTTTCTGACAAGAGGTAGGCTCGTCGCCGCGGCGGATCCGAGTGCGCCCCCGCCCCGACCCAGGTCCCGGTCTTGTCGAAGTACGGCGCCTCCCTGGCGGGCCCCCGGAACTCCCGGCCGCCCGCCGGCTGCGCCCGTCCCTTCCCGGCCCCGGCTGCCCTCGGCCGGGCGCCCGGAACGGGCCGCCCCACTGCTCGCTCCTCGCCGCCCCCCGCCCCCACCTCCACCCCACCCCCACCCAACCCCCACCCCCATCCCCATCCCCACCCCGCCAGGCTCCCAGTTCCCGGGAGCCGCTGGGAGCGGAGTTTCGGGTCCGGAGCCAGTGCCCGCCCCGCTCTCCTGTCGGCCGAGGCTGGGACTCCGTGGGGAGCAGCCACGCGGGATCTCTGCTGAGCGGCCGGCCCCGGGCGCGGGCCGCCGCTGGAGCCTGCTCGGGATGCGTTCAGTGAGTCTGGCCTTTGGCTCCTGTTTAAACAGCGATTGTCATGCAATAGAAGCAGCCAGGGTCCTGAACGCCCCTTGGTCGTTCTCACTCCGGCTGCCCGCGTAGGGCGTTTATCTGGACCGGAGCATCGGCAGCTGGGACCTGGCTGGAGTTCGCGAGCTCGTGAATTAGCAGGTTCTTCAGTGAGTGTAGCCTCTTTGGGTTCTGCCAGGCGGTGGAATCATGAATGGATCTTACAGTTTCTTAAATGAGCATTACGCTTTTTTGCCTCCTCCCTTCCTACCCCTGTTTGTGCCCGGTAATCTTTCTCTTACCTGGGAGAGTACCCTAAACTTAATTTTCCCAATTAAATTGTTAAAAGATGATTGGATTCCCACCGTGTATCAACGCTGTAAGGTTTACAAAAGTAAATGGAACATGGTCCCAGCACATCAGGGACTGTGTCAGTCCCATAATCAAGATTAATATTAGAAATCTTCAAGTTGGGTTGTGGAGAACATGGGAGTTTGGCTCTTAGTCTCACGATTTTAGAGGTGAAAGTCTTTCAAGATCTTCTCTCGGAAAACTTCATTTTATAGAGATGAAACTGAGTCCCAGGGAAGTCAAATGGCTCACTCGAGGCCACCCGGAGTTATTCTGTAGTCGTTTTCACACTGTCAAATGGTGGTGTTTTCCACCATGACCTGCTCCTTTGAGAGGTGTGCCAGACATACCAAAGTTCCAAACCTAGACAGGAATTTTAGACGTGGCGCAGTGGCTCATGACTATAATCCCAGCACTTTGGGAGGCTGAAATGGGCAGATCCCTTGAGCACGGGAGTTTGAGAGCAGCCTGGGCAACACGGGGAAACCTTCTACAAAGAATATGCATGGTGGTGCGTGCCTGTGGTCCCAGCTACTTGGGAGGCTGAGGCTGGAGGATCGTTTGACCCCAGGAGGTGGAGG